CTGTGCAGCAGAACTGCAGGGATTCACAGAGCAAAATAGTTTCATTTCCCCCCAAAATTAGTCCATTTTTCTCATTAACTGGCACTTACGGTCTCAAAATTTCTCTCTGAGACATTAGTCTTGGAAAGATTAAAGGGTTTCATTATTTACAATTGAACAGAGCAAACAGCAAATTCACATGAGCGACTGCTTCTGGCAGCAGACCTCAATAGACTATTGATGAGAGGGGGAAAAGGCACTGAGCGGAGAGGCGGGCCCTCTTTGAATTCTGAAAGGAACAACTGGTTAGTGCTGCAAAGATTGACAGTTAGCCCAGCCCAGAAAAGGTCCCTTTCAACCAAACCTGCTAAAGACAGCATGTGAGGTTGCAGAAACTCCAAGATACCATTTTGCTGCTAAGAAACGAGGTTGCTTTCCTTAAAGTTATCACAAAGCAATGTATGTTTTTCTTTCAGAGAGCATGAACCGAAAGGCCTTCCGTGAAAACATAAAACCCGGATGGCATTACTTCGGCAGGAAAATGGTAAATCATTTCTGGCTTCTTGGGAATTCTTTCACCCAACCCTGCCTAAAGGGCCCCAAGCTGAACACACAGGCAAAAAGTATATTTCACAATAGGGCTGGAGAGAAATAATTTTTTCACCAACTAGAGGAGAAATTACACTGAGAAACAGCCAACTTTCCAAGCCCACTTCCCTGAATCATCTCACTCCACGGCCGGGCCCTCCAACCCACTGAGTTATGGTAGCTCTCACCTTTGAAAAGCGATGTAACACTTGTCTGTTTCATCGCTTTTCTGGAGTGCAATCTGTGAACTTCTTCTCTCTTGGAAAATGTTGTGCATTTGATCTGGTGGGATTTTGGGCCAACTGTTATCTCTAAAGAGATGGTTGAAAACACCATCAAAAGTAACTAAGAATTGTGCATTGCTAATGCATTGCTATCAAAATAATGACCAGCGCTTGGTTTTTGAAATGTAACTACTAATGCTAGTGCATTACTTGGAGAAGAAAAACCTCTCTGGCAATTAATTTGTCCACAACTTTGAACCTTTTTATTGACCTTTTGCACATAGGGTGTCCTTCCGAAGCCCCAGGGCTAGAGGTGTTCCTATCCCTCTCTGATAGCTATTTAAGCAGCTCCTCAAATGAACAGGAACACAGTCTGGAGTGGACGTCTAGGAGATACACAGGGAAAAAAGGCTTTGAACAGTGAGTGTAAAATTCAGTGTTCTTACTAGTAATGTTTCTCTTCTTGCAGGATGCGGCTGACTTTGAGTGGGCCATGTGGTTTACATCTTTTAGGAACTTCATCATCTTTGCCCTTTCTGGCCACGTCCTCTTTGCCAAGATCTGCTCCATGACAGCACCCCAGGTAACCCACTGCCACCTTTGTTGTTGTTGGTGTGTAGTTGTTAAGTCGTGTCCAACCCTTCGTGACCCCATGGACCAGAGCACGCCAGGCCCTCCTGTCTTCCATTGCCTCCTGGAGTTGGGTCAAATTCA